TCTCTCTCTCTCTCTCTCTCTCTCTCTCTCTCTCTCTCTCTCTCTCTCTCTCTCTCTCTCTCGCGCGCGCGCATCGGGGTGATCAGGGGTTGTGGACCCCAAAAATTATTATTATTATTATTATTATTATTATTATTTTTGCGCGCGGTGCTGACAACCCCCCACAGGCAGGTGCCGACCAGCTGACCGGTCGGCTGGTCGGCAGCCGACCAATCAGGGGCCGCCGACCGTCGGGGTGTGCAACACTGGCGCAAACATTAAAAAAAACTGATGTCATGTAACAGTCACAGTGACAATTAAGCAACATATTGGTGGAAAGGACGTGCCAAGAAAGCACGAACCAGACTGTTTTGCCGACTAGGGGTCCAGGCTCTCTGAGCCAACATAGCGCCTCGTTGGACACCAATAAAAAAAAAGCAGAATTTCTAGGAAGCATCGTTCCACAGCACCCTAAGAACGATGATTGTGAAGTCCAAAATGTTTCCACATTGCAGACTTGCACCTCGGGAGGTCATTAGAGAAGTGAGGGCTGGACCCTAAAAACAGTAAAAAACGCATAAAACATGGAATGTTTTTTTTTCCAGTAATTTTCCACCAACCACAACTGTTCCTGACACCCTGTGGTCGGCACCTGAGTGTCTACGTCGTCCATCTCAAGGGTTTCGTCTAGGGGCTGTGGAACCAAAAGATGGGTTAGGGGAAATTAAAATGAGCAAGGTTGGGGCGGTTGGTGGTTTTGGGATCCTGTAGAAAATGCATCTTTGATGCCTTGGGTTGGGCTAGAGCTATAGTACAGCTTGTATTCATTCAGTCATTTCATTTCGGTCGAATTCTTGGACCTTCTTTCTAAACATTGTTACTCTTTTATTCAATCTTTTAGGTACTTTTTTTGTTCGTTCGGGACTACTTGCATCTGTTCATAGCTTTGCCACAGATTTCCCAAGTTAGGGCACGCTAGAAAACAAGCAAATCTCTAGTGGTGTCGAACGAGATCCATAGCACCACCTGCTGCTAACACCCGATTCCCCTCATATTGCTACGGGTCCACTACAAAGCGGTTACCCGTGTACAGCAAAACCCCATTAAACCACCACTCCAGTGCCCCCTGCACTGTTCATTTCTCGTCTACAAGTGCCGGGCCAGAAACTACAGTGCCCGGGCCCGGTAGAGGTTCGATGCGGAAAGGTACCACAATTATTATTCCTAACTGCAGCACTGTGGATTTGAGGATCGGCAAAATGCGACTTCTGGGTTGTCAAAACAGGTCCAGATGGGGGGATGGTATCATTGTTTAAAGAGGCTTGATGCACCCATGAAACAGAAAAGGGACCTCTTACAGACTCTGTTCCGTTGATATTTCATAGACTCGTCAGGACTCCAGAGGAGGTTAATGGGTTATGATTAACAGTCGGAACAAACTCCCTACTGCTGATTAGAGGACAGGTTCCCTTCCGGAGATAAAAGGCCTCGCCACACCACTTCGCCAAATGCCTACATTTCGAACGTATTTGGACTAATATTCAGATTCGTTCAGAACATGTGCGTTTGGCAAGTGGTGCTGCGAGGCTCAAACAAATGCAGAGCGCATACGAAATGACACAAGCACTTGTACTGAGAACCCTTTACAGATCCTCCACAGTTTCTCGGAAGAAATTTCGTGTTTCTCGTACAGCTGCTCGTCGTCACACAACTGGTGGAGAAAGCTCCATTTTCTGAAAAAGACCACCTCCTCACTGTTGCCTGCCAACTCACCTCAACGTTGTCTGCCAATTGTGAGAAACAGAAACACCTCCTCGGCGTCCTCGGAAGCTTTCCTTTGCACAATAATTGGACAGCTTGGAGACAACACAGGGCAACTTCCAGAGGTGATCTTTTTCCCGCAACCCGGTGAGTGCAGGTTCTGGGTGGAGGTGGGGGCAGCAAATGGATAGATAGCAGCAGTACCTCTCAACAGGGAAAACACAAGGACAAGAGGCACAAAAATGCACTTCAGCACTACCCCCTCTTTATATCTACCACTATCAACCTGCCACTCAGAAGCGCGCACACTAAACCCACTGCCACCACCCGACGCCTTCCCCACAACCTGGTGAGTGCAGGATTGGGGTGGAGGTGGGAGCAGCAAATGGATAGATAGCAGCAGTACCTCTCAACAGGGAAAAAACACAAAGACAAAAGGCACAAAAATGCCCGTCTGCACTACCCCCTCTTTACATCTACCACTATCAACCTGCCACTCAGAAACGCGCACACTAAACCAACTGCCACCACCCTGACGCCTTCCCCACATTGGGCCAGTATACAGCGGGTCCAGAATTGATTCTGGTACCAACTCAGCCCGGTACGACAGACAAAGTCACAAAAAGAAACTGCAGCCACGTACAACGACCATCAGATTCTGGATCATGACAATAAGAGTCCATTGCCAAACAAAAAGCCCAGCTCTTGCCATCGAGGCCTAAGGCTCACCAAGTCAGGGATGCGCAAAACAAAAATTTAAAGAGAGAGGTTTGGAGCCTGTTGCATCTCCCGAGCGGTCTGCAGAACGCAGAAAGGAGCCCTTTGAAGTCTCAACTCCTTTCCTTCCCCCCCTTTCAAAAGTCCAGGCTGTTGTATAGAGGTTGGAAGCTAGACATCTGACAGTTACCCTCAGTACTCGACCATTTGGTTAACCGGATGGTCTTAGAGACCTAATCCATAGCTCTCACAAGTCCCTCCCTACCACCTCTCAATATTTCCTGGTGCAACAAGCCTCAACTACTTTTGTCCTACAGAGGAAGGCAAGTTTGCGAACCAATGATAAGGGTCAGAGATCTCAGTGCATATATACAGATACTAAGGGCTGAATCCCACGGTCGGGCAGGGCGCTTTCGAAACCTCCTTGGCCAAGTGTCTTTCGCCCCCCCCGCCCCCCCCCTAGCTCTGACAAGTCCCTCCCTGCCACCTCTCAATATTTCCTGGTGCAACAAGCCTCAACTCCTTTTGTCCTACAGAGGAAGGCAAGTTTGCGAATCAATGACAAGGGTCAGAGATCTCGGTGCATATATACTGATACTAAGGGCTGGATCCCACGGCCGGGCCGGGCGCCTTCAAAACCTCCTTGGCCAAGTGTCCTCCACACCCCCCACACCCCCCCCATGCAGTTTGCTTTCTTTCTTGATGCCATCAATGCCATGATTATGATCTGAGAACGGTGAAAACACCGGGCAGGGTATGGCACAGACTCTATGGGTCACAGAGCAGTGCTTCGTCACAAGAATCATCCAGACGAATTCTTCATGAATGGCATCTGCCTTGACATCCACTGTCCAAGGTGTTGTAGACTGTCCCTTGCCCAGCGAGCAATGTTCTTCTTCTCGTCGGTGGATGTCTGTTCAAGAAGCCATCTGAAGTCTTCTACTTGCTGTTCAGACAGTGGTCGCAGAAACTCGCTACTCAACGCAATATCCGTGGGAACCATGCCATCCACCAGATTCGTAGGAAAACGGACGGCTGAACTGCGGCCCAGCAGTGTTCCTGTCATAGGTTGCTTTGCTTGCTTGCCTTTCAGACACTTCTGTTCTTCAAAGACCACTGGCTGTTCTGCATCGCCATTCCCACTGGCGGTTTGAACATAACCTTCTTCGGCTGCAAATCGTTGCTCTTCGACTTCGTAAATACCACCCTCCGGCGCGTCAGCAAACCCACGATCAGCGCTGTTGCCACCATAGCCATTGCTTGAAGACCGCACAAGGTCCTTCTGGTTTTCCAACTTAGCCTGCCTTCTGACAGTGCTTGCCAAAGAATTAGCAGTGGAATCTTTTTCTTCGTGCCGCAACGGATATTCTGCATCATAGTTGGTGATCTGTACCACTTCCCCCCCGATGACAGGCTCTGAAATTATGGGAACCTTCTCGTCGATTGGAGAGGGAGAGGGAGCGTCACTGTTGTCTGGAGCAGTGGGCACTCTATCTGGTGCCTGGGGCAAGAGAAGAGGGGAAGCGGACGCAAGTTCCAGTTTCAATGCAAGAGCGCGCTGAGGCTGCAGGCAGAAGTCCAACCACTCACCTACCAGAGGTGATGGCCCACGGGTCCGACCGCCCACTTTATCGCTTTTTATCTTCGTTGCAGATGGGACAGCCCAAAGATCAGCCCACAACGACGTTCCCGACAAAGGGACGACCACACCCCAATCTGATGAGCGCTGAGCCAGAGGGATGAGGTCGCTCGACCATCCAACAGCTACCCAAACATCTCCAGCTGCAAGAGCCTTCAAGTAGTACTGGTTGTCAAACAACCGGACCTGCTCCCGCAACAGCGCATACCTTTTCGCCACGGCAGACCTTCCGCCTTCCACATTCCTCTGAAAGTCAACAGTATTGAATGAAGCCCCAAGGCTCTTTAGCACAGTTCCAATCACTTCACGAGGAGAATTCACCATCGCGACTCTTCCCTTCAGCTCAGGGCGCCACAGGTCTGACCAGTCCAAAGGAACATGGCCCCCCGGGCGAGAGGGCCTTTTCCTGCCCAACAACCCTAGGAACCCCTTCCCCTCTTTGGACTCCATGTTCGGTGGATCAAACTTGTCAATACGGTAGGCGATCGCTGTGTACCCCCAGCGATAAGGCGCTGCCCAAACATGTCCTGAACCATCGTGCTGCTGCTTATTGGGGCCATCTTGCCCAGCAGTGCTGAGTGAGCAGCGACATATGTCTTGCCATGTGGAACCAAGCCTTTGAAACCATTGTGATTGTTCCGCAGAAGGAATGGGGTCGATAAGGCCTTCCTGGATAGCCATCGGAAGAAAGGAATCCCCGATTGTGACAAGATCGGCAGCCATCACTGACTTGGGACCGATTTTTTTCTCCTTCATGGCACTTTGGAGCTCTTTCATGATGCCATGGAGATCAGTTCTAGACTCCAACGAGTATCTAGCCCTTTTAGACTGGCACTGACCAAATTCCTGCAGCCAGACGAGAGGGACGGAGTCTCTCAGGCCAACGATGCGGAGAGGGACCGTCAATGGGATCGGCTTCGACTGCCACTCACGAAGCATCCGCTCCTCCTCTTCATCCACTTGGTCCACCTCCTCCTCCTGCTGCTGCTGCTGCTGCTGCTGCTGCTGTTGCTGCTGTTGACCAGATGTCACATGTGTCATCACCTCCATGTCAGCAACAACTGCAGTCTCCTCTCTGGAATCTGATGCAGCAACAGCCACTTCACCTCCATCTCTCTGATCTATTGCCTCTCCCGTGTTGGCCGTATCATCAGCGAATCCACCCATAATACTGTTGGCTGCGAGTTCTGAGCCTTCTATGCTGTCCTCATTTGCACCAAACACCTCTGCAGAGTTTGCCATACCCCCATCTTCCCTATTCAAAGTCGTATCAGAATGGGGTGAACTCTGGATTGCACACGGCGCAGCCCCCAAGGCATCCTCTGCATTTCCAGGCATCTGCCTGCTAGAGTTTCCCCTACCTTGGCAGGCTGCTTTCCTATTTACAATGGTACCTGCGCCAGACAAGCTGATGCTTGCAAACGGGGCAGTTACAGCGGCCTGTCGAGTCCAGGCCTCCTTCTGTCTGTGTGTCCCAGCTGTTTGAGGCACCAGGAGGGACCCTGATGCAGCTGCAATGAGGGTGATTGCCCCAACACATGCGGCCAATAAGTGGCTCTGCCCATCATCTTCCTCATCTTTCCTCCATCTACCATCAGCGACACCACTGATAGAAGTGCTTAGCGGAGGGGTGTGCAAGCGAGGGAGATCACCCCTTGCACCATCTCCTTGTCCTGCGCTGCTGCTGCTGCTGCAGCAGCAGCAGATTCCGCGAACTTGCCTCAACTGCTTGCTATGGCTGGGCCAAGCTGCAGGTCTCGACCACACAGCTTTTGTCCCGTAGACGATATCTTCACGGTGCACATTTATTGCCGGTGCAGCAGCCAAGGAAGTGCCAATCACTTCAGCAAGCACAGCTCTATGTGCACTCGCCATAGCCAGATTCACAACAAAGGTTCCGACTCCTCAAACAAGTCAGGCTGCAAACTGAACGAGTGAGGAAGAGTCTGCTGTCCACATCTTCCCAGAGGTGACAGGGAGGCGTGAACCTCTTTCTCTCCTCTTTTGCAGGCTGTTTCACATCAGGCCGAGTAAACCTCCTCCTCACTCACCATAGCTGGATCCACAGCAAAGGTCCAGGATTGCTTGCTAGAAGAAGAAAGAGTTTGGCAAGACAGCAAACATGAGAAGAAGCTGGAGTTCTCATTGAAGCTTTCTGGCAATGATGGTCAGGGTCAACCCTTTCCTCTCCTCCGCTACTTAGAATACACGCGGCGATTGATCAACCAGAGACCAAGCCAGATCCTAATGGCTGGATTGCAAAGGGTATTTCCAGGGCTGGAAAAGTACCTCGATTCTCTTCCCCCTCCTCGTGCTCCAAGAGCTGCTTCATGCCACGCCAAAGATTCAGCATCCACCAGAGAGATTGATGAGTCCCCTGACCACCTCCACTTGGCAAGAAGCCCTAGCTGCCTGGTGAGATTTTACAGAAGGGAAGAGAAGATGCCAAGCCAAGCAACTGCTTTACTATTGTTTGCACCTGGTCCTGTGCGATAATCCTTTCTGAAATATTGCAGACATATTGGACAGCACGGGAGGGGCAGAGCAGGCTGGGGGAATGAGGAGGAGGAAATCTGAGGAAGGCCAGACAGACAGAGACAGGAAACGTAGCATTCGTTCAATTTCTCATTTGCAGGCTACTACTACATCAATTGCTTGGATGACGAAAAAGAGGATGACGATGTCTGAAACGAAAGAGAACAGGGAGCGGAAAGACGGAGAAGGGTAACATCAGCATGGACGGAAGCTTCTGCATCCCTTAAAATGAAATAGCTCAAAACTATGTTTACTTGTCACCACTACTCCATGATGATGTGGTGGGGAAAAAAACAGAACTCTTGAAGAGAGAGCCTACTTCCTCCCTCTCCCAAACAGACAAAAACCAAATTCTCAAAGAGCCTAGAAGGAAGATTACGGATGGCAAGCCTAGAAGAGAGAGGAGAGTCTTATTTGTTGCCGTCACCAACAATGACAGATCTTGGCTATGCAGGAGAGAGAACCCCTTGATGTGCAACTGATCTGTTTCCAACTCCCCACACATTCCCGATGCACATTTGCTGTCGTCACCAACAATACCAGATCTGGGCTAATAGTGGAGGGAGAGGAGGCCATTTATGCGCAGCTCGTTCATTTCCACACGTTCCCCATGTAAACGAATCAGCGGCTGAGCTGACCACTTCGCCGCAGCAATTGTCAGTAAACGCCATGCGGCAGAGTTGCTTTCAATAGCAAAAGGTGCAGGCAAGGACGCGCATTTGCAACACTCCCATCCTATCTTGCTGTCCACTGATACTTCCATCTATCAGTCCCTCCTCTCCAGCAAGGCTCTGTTCTCAATTCCGATTTTTCCAGTCTGCAGACCATGTCGTATCTTCTGCACCCCTTCCACTGCACCCTCGATCTGGAAGACGACAAAAGTGGGCACAGTAACGGTGGGGATTCCAAAGGTTTCACATCAAGCTCTGCGCACAGGCAGACCACATAACCCATTCCCAGCCACAAGTAGCATGCCACGACAAAGGTGGTGAGCTGCGAGTTCAATCTCCGCCAGAGCCACTGCCGATGCGCCATGCGTCACTCCAAGAATGCTGCCACGTCACACTTCCTCTCCTCCCTACAAGAGCTGTGAAGAGCATCATCCAGCCTCACTGCATCCACAGCCACACTGCTCCTTCCCAGCTCCAGAAATGGAGCACACGTGTTGTCATCGTGACACGGATCTTCATGCTCTGATGCATGTCGACATAGCCATTGCAGCCTCCACACCCTGGCATAAACTCGGTTCAGCAATCGACAACCCTTCCCCTCCTCGTCTTTTCCTCCTCACCAGGACACACGACCGTCTTGCTCTGATGCATGGCAACATAGCCATTCCAGTCTCCACACCCTGGAATAAACTCGGTTAAGCAATCAACAACTCTTCCCCTCCTCCTCCTTCTCCCCCTCCTCCTCCTCTTGTATGTCTTCTTCCTTCCCCACCATTTGCTCCTGTGCAGGTGAGTTGGTGCTTGCCTCTGTTTTCTGAATCAGTATCCCATTTGGTCTGGACCCGCTCCAGCAGGCCACGACAGGGGCAACGGATAATTATTGGCATCCAACAAGTCCCAAAATCAGGTCATGACTTTGCAGATTGACGGCAAGCAAGCCTCAATGACGAAGGCCAATAACTGTTGACAGCTACAAGTCCCAATATCGTTCAAGGAAGGCAATACAGCACATACCAGCAATTTCCATCTCGAACTGGATTGCAGCAAACTCTGCAGATGCTGCATGCTTCTTCCCTCTCCTCTACTCGGCTGCGAAGCATCAAGTTTTCCAAAAACATCCACCTACTCCTCCCTCCGCCTCCCATTGACAATGAGCTCAGCTGCAGCCATCGTGGCCCTGGTCTCCTGCAAGACTACAAACTTGAGAGGGTTCACGTCACCAACTACTGCACCCATATGTGGCCAGGAGAGGGTTCCAACGACTTTGCCCTCGACAGACTAATCACCATACCTAGTCAACAGACCGTAATCACTATACCTAATGGACAAACACTAATCGCCATATCTCCTTGTAATCACCAGCTCTCCTACTTTTCGCAAAGAGCACACTAGCAAAGAACATGTCACATTTATCCCCATGCTCTGCCATGCCATCAGCAGCAACTGGTGGCGAAGAAAGGACAGCATCGAGAGCCTTTCTCCACCCTGCTGCACACCCTCTAAAAGCACACACATGCGCACACGCAAGAGAGAGAGAGAGAGAGAGAGAGAGAGAGAGAGAGAGAGAGAGAGAGAGAGAGAGAGAGAGAGAGAGTACATCTCCTCTGCACCTCTCATTGCCTTAGCACCACCTTCTTCCCTTCTTCTTCATCAGTCTCCATCCGCTTTCTTGCCCTTTGCTATCTCGCTATCGGCAACATTGTGTTTCTTCTTCCATCATCAAGACTGGATTTCATAAAGTCCATGAATGCCTCAATTACGTCTATCACTTTTTTATATATGAATTGACATTAAGGCCTCCATGTGCATGGTCAAGTAACTACCTCTTTTTTTAATCTCCCTTCTCTGTTGTTCTCCCTCTCTCTCACCCTCACCCTCTCTCCCTCCAGGTGACTACCTTTCCCCGTCACTCCAGGCAACCATCTCTCTCTCTCTCTCTCTCTCTCTCTCTCTCTCTCTCTCTCTCTCTCTCTCTCTCTCTCTCTCTCTCTCTCTCTCTCTGTGGGGAGGTTTGAGGACCACATTTCTGAGAATGCACCACCAGACTCAGGCCTCCCTTTACCCCTCCTTGACCTTCCAAAATCACACCCCAACCAACGGGCCTAGCTCAGTTGTTACACCCATGAACTGTTGAAATACAGGCCTGAGTTCGAATCCAGATTGAAGTTCATTGAACTAAATGAATGAAATTCGAACTTACTTAGGGCCGGTCAGATCGACAATAATATCTCGAGGCCGTCGCCCATAAAAAATAAATAACAATGAAGTAATTGAAAAAAAGAGCAGCCAATCGCCCATTTTTCTGCCAAAATGGGCATGGCAATGACTGTGATACGGCCTGAAAGAAAGGCATCCAAATAGTGCACCCTAAAAGACCTACTTAGAGACTCCCTTAACTTTTTGGAGAGCACGTGGACGTACACTTGATATGGATGTGGACGTACCCGTGATGGATGTATACATGGATGTACATAGACATATACGTGGTGAATGTACAAGTCGGTATACTCTTTTACGCACATGTATGTACTCGGGAATGTACATGGATGTACAGAAGGGTGTACTTGGCTATACACGTGGATGTATGCATGGACGTATAGATGTCCAGTTCTTCTTTCCTCGTACCCGTTGCTTCAGGGAATACTTACACCAGGGCCATTTCAACTTATCTGGACATACTTGCAGCCAGATGCATACAGCATGAGTTGTAAATGCAGTCAGATACATACAGGAAAGTCCTTTTGTGACAATGGCCTCAACGAGGTTCATCTTCTGCATATAATACTCTTAATTAATCGATTTCGACATCTCCAACCTTCACTTTCTCTCCCGAGACTCCTCTCCCTCCTCCCTTGAATGTATGTGGCCGCAAAAGTGGTCATATTGTGTTGAAAAAAAGACTTTCTTTCTGCTGATAAACCCTCTCTTCCGTTCTTACCTAAGGGCACACTCACACTCGGGCCTTTTTCTTCGACTGAATATGACCGGTTTTGCGACCACCTACATTCAAGGACGCCTCTTTGCTGCTCTCCAGTGAGTACGCAATCAACCTCTTCTGCCCACTATGTCAAGACGCCTTGCCTGCCCGACGGATGGTCCTCCTTTCCCATACTCTCTCCTTTCTTCTCCTCTCCTCTCCTCTCCACTCCACTCCCCCCCCTTTCTCCTCTCACTCCCTCCCTTTCTCATCCTCTCCAATATCATCCATACTGCTTTTACTCTCCGCTTCATCACGAGTGCCTATCGGTCACCACCTGTATTATATATAATAATTCACTATTCTATACATCATTGTTGTAGATATATTGTGCATAATCCCGACCATGTAGTCCACGGTATGCCCTCTCTTTTTTTCCAGCTTTCTACTTTTACCACTGCTTTGATCACTATAACTCAACCTTTTCCTTCTAGCCCCCCTCCCATCCTTTCCCCCAAACCAACCTGAACGGGACTGCACAAGCCTGTTGGAGCGCTCAGCGTTTGCAGTTGCAAGTTCTTTCTTCACTGTTTTCCTTCCAACCTCCTCCGACCCCTAGTACTACATTCTTCGCTCTTTCCTTCTAACTTACGATTACCCCTTTCCAGAGTTCTGGATAAGCAGTAAGTATTTTCTTCACCGGTTCCTTCCAACCTACGCTTACCCCTTTGCGCTTTCCAAAGTACCAAGTACTTTCAACGGCCGATAGCTGGCCAAGTACTGGTGGCTTAAGTTCTTCGCTCTTTCCTTCCGACCTACCCTTTCCAAAGTACTCGATTTTTCGCTTTTTCCTTCCAACCTACCCTTTCCAAAGTACTACTGTAAGTTCTTCGCTTGCTTTTCCCTTCCAACCTACCTACCTTCAACAAAGTACTAAGTCCTAAGTGCTTCGCTTTTTCCTTCCAACCTACCCTTTACGAAGTACTAAGCACTAAGTACGAAGTTCTTTCGCTTTTTCCTTCCAACCTACATTCGTCCCCCGAATACAACGTACGATCATTATAGCTGTATTTG